AAATGTCAGATGGTCCAGGGACTCCCTTGCCCTGCACCACAACTGGACAACCAGGATCGTCCATCTTTCAAGTGGCACCCACTAAGGACAGACACCTCAACGTCTGTCTTTCCGGAGCTTCTGCTTGACCACATGTGCATTGACATGACATTCCAGCTGACTCCACCCTTACCAAATCGTCCCATGAGGGTATCCCATGGGAAAATTTCCCATGGGATTACATGATGAATTGGCCACCATATAGCATGGGATTTTTACCCATGGGATTTTGCCCTTGCGTATTTCAAGAACCCCATGTAATCTCCCAAAATATTCTCATGGTAATTTAATTGTCATATCCCATGGTGATTTTCCCACACATCCAATGGTGATTTACCCATGCGTCCAATGGTGATTTACCCTTGTGTCCCATGGTGATTTTCCCCTGCATCCCATGGTGATTTTCCCATTTGTCCCATGGTGGTTGCCCCATTTGTCCCATGGTGATTTTCCCATGCGTCCCATGGTGATTTTCCCATGTCGATTGTCCCTTGCATCCCATGGTGATTGTTCCATGTCAATTGTTCCTTGCGTCCTGTGGTGATTTACCCATGCCTCCCATGGTGAGTGTCCTGTGCATCTCATGGTGACGGGCAAAGTTGCAGTCATCAAATCAACATTCCATTGCAAACTGTGTACTGTAGTTCATGCCAATGCTGCATTTTAACGGCAGCAGTTACAATACAACAAAGCCTCTAAGTGTACCTATGTAGATGCCATATCAATGCAAATCCCAGTGTTCTCTTGATGATTGCAAAAATTTGAATAGTGTTTGTGTGGCGTTTCCATGATGTCCACATGCAAATCACATTGTATTCCCATGTAGAGTATAACAACCCTACAGTGTTCTCATGCTGATCATAAAAGCCCCATGGTGTTCCCATGCTGATCATAAAAACCCCATGATGTTCCCATGCTGATTATAAAAACCCCATGGTGTTCCCATGCTGATCATAAAAGCCCTGTGGTGTTCCCATGCCAATTATAAAAAGCCCATGGTGTTCCCATGCTGATCATAAAAGTCTCATTGTGTTCCCATGGTGTCCACAAAATGTCCCATGGTGATCACTTCAACCAACATTATTTTTTTGCCAGTCCCATGGCGTACACATGGGGTCCCATGGGCTGCCCATGGGATCTGCATGGGACATTTTTGTAAGGGCAGTTCCAACTGATCAAGCCAAACAACGACCCTTCTAGTCAGAGATTTTGGACCTGTTTCAGAAACAGGCCATCCTACCGGTACCGCAGCACCTCACGAAGAAAGACTTCATGTCCACTTTCTTCCTCACACCAAAGAAAGAACTGGCAAAGTGGAGATTGGTTATCAACCTGAAAAAAATACATCTTGAAAACCTGACACCTCTCAACCAGTTCATCTGACCAGAGAAGTTTTGGATGGAAACTGGCTGTACCGAGATGCAGTGGCTCACCATTCTGGCATGGGCGTCCTCAATTGACCTGAAAAACGCCGTCATACATATCCCTTTCCACCACAAGGACCACAAATTCCTCTGTTTTTCATACAAGAATCACATCTACGAGTTTTATGCCCTTCCCTTTGGTCTCTCCACCTCCCTGAGAGTATTTACCACGGTGGTAAAGACTATTGGGGTGCATCTCCAATGTTTTGGCATCCTTATCTTACAGTACCTTGCCAACTGGCTAATAGTCAGCCGTTCCAAGGATGAGACTATTACTGCCACCTCGGCCTCATATGACCTTACGTCTCATCTGGGGTTCTTGATCAATCATGACAAGTTTAGACCTGCTCCATCCCTGAATCCGACCTACCTTGGGGCGATTCTCGACCTACACAGCGGCATCACTGTTCCCATGGACGACCGCATGGACAACATAATACAGTGCTTCACCATGTTCCAAGAACATCAACAGGTGAACACCAGAGCATGGTTCCACCTCCTGGGGTTCATGGCCAGCCACGTAGACCTCGTTGCCCGGTGTTATCTCCGCTTGAGGCCCCTCCAGCTTTTCCTCCTGTCTCACTTCAAGCTAAACAGGGGCTCTCTTGACCTGTAGATCCCTATGTCGACCCTGGCTCTCCCTCACTTGCCTTTGTTGTCAACAAGAGACAACCTGACCGTCGGCCTCCCCTTTATACCACTGAGACACAACTTGGTGATCACAACAGATGTCTGAAACTTTGACTGGGGGGCCTGTCTTCACCCGCACCAAGTTTCCAGCCTCTGGGGCCCAACCTCCAGTTCTCCCACATCAACCTACTCAAACTACATGTACAGGTGATATTCAAAACTCTTCTTCACTTTCGCTCATTGATAGAGGGCAAGATGGTCCTGGTCCGGTCAGACAATGCAACAGCTGTAGCATCGTGTATATCAAGCATCAAAGGGGTATGGGCTCTCCTCACCTCTGCCTCCTCACCTTGCACCTTCTCTATTGGACCACCAAAAACTCCATCAGCCAATTTGCTGAACACATTCCCAGAACAGAAAACAACCTGGTGGATGCCCTGTCCTGGGGCTTGGTCTGTCCTGCAAAGTGTATGCTCCAACCTGAGGTAGTCAAGACACACAGGCCTCACATAAACCTCTTCGCTTCTTACCTGAATGCCCAGCTCTCAACCCTCTGCACTTGATATCCACACCCTCGAGCATGGGCAACAGATGGCCTATGCATCCCCTGGGAAAGGCTTCTGGCATATGTGTTTCCTCCCCCGTAGCTCATTCCGTGGGTGCTGTCAAAGCTAGAACAGGACAACTTTTGCATCCTCCTCATTGCCCCATTCTGGCCCAGACTACCGTGGTTTCCATGCATTGTCAGGTTACTGGTAGACACTCCCCTACCCCTGCCTCTTTGCCTGGACATCCTCTTTCAACCCAGGTCTTCATTCATTCATCCGTACCCGTCTCACTTGCACGCAACCTGCTGGATATTGTCGGAAGATCACTACAACAGGCAGGCCTTTCTCAATCTACTTTGGACCTGTCTTCTAAGTATTTTGGGTGGATCAATAGGCTCCATATTGTGAAATTTGTTGACTTATATTATGGTGGCAACAGGCTTGAATTTCCATGCTACATAAGGAAGGCTTTCACATCCACGAAGACATTCCATGTATATTGAGTTCATTTTGCATAAGCAACCAAGCCTTACTGTAACAGCAGGGTAGTCTCATGGACATGTTTTTACTGCAACTTCATAGTAATTTTCAGTGCATGGAAGCTATTTGGCAATGCTTTTAGGTTGAATGTATTGGAAAGTGCAGTTTTTAAACAATCAACAACTGGGAGCTCTGGTAGTAGTATGTAATTCAGGGTGGACATAGTTCAATGTGTTTCTATTCAAATTGTCAACCCATAATTAAGTCACTGTAATGATTTCTTGTGAAAGGGTTGCTTGCTGATGTGTTGCAATGAAATAACAATGAATCACAAAGAAAGGGCTAGCAAAATATTACAAATTCAACAGTTTCTAGTGCACATGTGAGGGATGTCATGTATATCCTACATATACTTGTATGCTGGTGTATAGCAACAGCGCCATCATATGGTGGCGGGGGCATTCCTCAAGTTTGCCGTCGCCTCTGCTGTTGGCCTGTCTACTGCATAAATTTAAATAGGTAAATTTGACTTTTCTTGGGCTTGTAAATTTCATGTTAATCATCGAATGGGTTTCCAGGGGAGTGGAGAAATTGTTAGACATAGTGGGAAGGGTATAAATACATTATTTTCTGGGTAAATTGGGCAAATGGTTTTGTTACTCTCGAGCGGTAAAATAATGGCGGCCTTATAGCAATGTGCTCAGACAAGTCTGGTTTGCATATACATGTATACATGTATATAAATATATCTGTATCAACGTCCATGGTGCCGAGACCAAAACTATGAGTAGTATCTATGGTGCAGTAATTATGTGGAGTTATGTGGTTTAGATCATTTAATTGAAGGAAGTTACTGTGTATATCACTTGCATGTACATGTACAGGCACATGTTGGGCAAATTGTGACATGTAAATTAATAAGACGGGCACATGCACATGTACTTGGGGATTAAGTGACATGTAAATCCTTTGCTTATTGAAGATGATTATTGCTTTAAATTTGTAATTGTTTGGAATGAATGGACGTCAATTATATTAGATTCTACCTCTAAGCTACACGGTAATTGGAGAGTAATCTTCCTAGTACTTGAGGGATATTGATTTATACTCTTTATTCCAATGTACATGTAATTTTAGGATTGGATAATGACAATAGGGTGAACTCTTTGTTATTTCAATCAGGAGGAAGTCCACAGTGTGAATTAAATTTTCTTGGCAATTAATCAATTTGGAAGGATGACTAGATAAACTGTTTTTCCAGACATTTCCAATTTCATTGTAGGGACAAACTGTGCCAATCCAGGGTCAGGTCGATCATGTTGTTAGGCAAGCACCGAAACCTGGTGCTGAACAGCCCACGACCACATGCCATATCCAGGCCAAATCGCAGCAACGGTGAACAAACTCAGCACTAATTGTAAAACGACACAGCATGCTGGCTCATATTGTTCTGGACAACAAACATGACCAACTAATGACTCGATTTCAAGTCTAGAACATTCATAAAACCACCTCAGCTCTCGTGGGAGTATCCTAGCCCGATGATGCCATTGCAAACCAAGAAGCAAATGGGTGAACATAAACGTGTGTCACAGGTACCCATTTTCTCCTGGGTGGAGAGAGGCACATATGGGTAAAGTGATTTGCCCAAGATCACAATATACTGCCACCAGCTGGGTTCGAACCCCTGACATTATGGTCAGAAGCTACAAACCCTAAGCACTAGGCCACATTTGGGTGGATTGCGTGTACATTTGTGATATATTGAGAAAATAACCACACATCAACGCAATAGTAAACAACTTCGTAAAACTTTTGAATGTTTTATTTGTGACAGCAAAACATAATTAACATTTTATTTATTTTTTAAAATCAATAGTTGCAAAAGCAAGCAGTAACTCTGGGCTTCTGAAGCTAGTGCTGCAAGCTCTATGTGCCAACTGGAGTGTTAACATCAGAAAGGATTTGATGGAATCCAGATACAGTTACCAAGGCAGGAAAATGCAGCAAGAAATGGTTAAAGGAAATCTCTTGCAGCGGGAGTCATTTGGAAGACAGTTTTCTCTCGAAGAAGAGACGCAAAGGAGTACTTCAGCACTTCATGAAATTCAAGAAGGTAATTTATATATTTGTCTTTGGAAGGATCTTTTTCTCTTTTTTTATGCCTCATCGGTTGCCACAAGTTCAAGAAGCATGGGGACATTTAAAGTAAAGAAACAGATTCTTTCCTACTTTATGTGGACCTTGCTGCTTCCTAAAGAATCTGTTGCTGTGATATGTACATTATTTTCTCACTACGTTCCTCTGTAAGAAACCTCATTTCTTTTCTATATCTACCTCATGTTAGAAAGAATTGAAAATTTATAAGATTAGTTGTTGAACGTGGAAACTAGCCCATTTATTCCTTCTTTCATTTCTTCAGACAACGATCCATCAATCTAACATTAATCGTTTAGCCTGTGTACATATGCCTTAAAATATGCCTTAAAATAATACAGACAGAAGCACAGGGAAAAAAAGCACCTCAAATGCAAGTAAACCTATGTGCTGAGCTTGGAATATAGCCGCCCACCGCTGTCAATAATAGGCCCACAAGTCTGGGTTTTTTTGTGAAAGAAATACCCCCAGTTGGAAACTAATAGTCCCAAATTCATGATTTATGGAAATATTTCTATGATCCCTCTTGATTATGGCATGTCTTGTTAGAAAAACCCAGTGGGATCACAAATATCAATGAGTTCGCTCATAGAAATCCAACAATCTGGTGCCATGCACCCTTTAATAATGCTTCGCAGGATCTTTGGTGAAAAAAAGTCTTAAGACAGAGAAAATGTACACGGTAAACTAATTTAACAATTCCAATCATTCGCATAATCTTTTAAGATGGGCTTGATCATGAAGCACTACAAAAGGGAAACAATAGCAAGTTGTGATTGACATGGAACAATAGTATTGCAAGTCACATTTTTTTCTACTCATGCAGCATGCATGCACACTGGACGGAAAACATAATTTTGTCAACTAGAGTACATGGAATAAAGAACTCTTCTGAAACGTAATTGTTCTCAAACTGAAAGCATCATAGCTTGCTACAGAAAGGGCTGGTCTAAATATGAAAAACCTTGTTTAAAAAAGGTTGTGCTCAGTCATGCAAAGTGATTATTGAAAACAGTCAGTCATTCACTCAGTCAGTCATTGAGTCAGCCATTCAGTCAGCCATTCAGTCAGTCAGTCAGTTTCAGCCAGTCAGTTTCATTCAGTTTCATTCAGTTTCATTCAGTTTCATTGATATCCAACTATAGTCTATTGAAATACATTGAAATTCGTTGTGGTTTTGCAGGCGTTAAAAACTTTGATAATCAAAATATATGTACCAAACAATAATAACCGACACTACAAAAATTCTCACTAGAATTACAACAAATAATTTCAGACAGCATATCAGGTAAAATAACAATTGATTATTAGATACAGTGGGATTAAGATAACAATAACATCTGATGGACTTTGATTGCACCTGTACATGTACGTTCAATAAGCGAACTGCACTTGGATAAAAACTGTTCAAGTTTCAAGTCGAATCTGCGCGAATTGATCTGTAATGTTTATCTGATCTCATCCGCTGAAATAAGTCATTCGCAGGATGGAATCCATCTGAGACAATTGACATGCACTTCTTTAAGACCCTTGCTTCATAAAGTTCTTCCATTGCAGGTAATTTACAGCCAATTATAGTGCTAGCGGTTTGAACAACCTGATTGAGGCGTTTCCGGTCTTCCACCGTGGTGTTCCCTTACCAGACAGCGATTGAGAATGTCAGGACACTCTCAACCACTGCCCAATAGAACTTCACCAGCAGACCTTGGCTGACCCGGAAACTCCTCAGTCGTGTGAGACAAAACAGACGTTGTTGGGCCCTCCTTACCAAGAAATCAACATGGGATGTCCATTTCAGATCGTTAGTCATATACAGGCCTAAAAATCTAAAGGAGTCAACCCTTTCTACCTCAGATCCATGGATACACAGTGGTTGAATGTTACTGGGATTTCTTGTAAAGTCAATAATGATCTCCTTGGTCTTTTCAACATTCATCTGTAACTCATTGTCGTAACACCATTGAACTAAATGGTTGACTTCATCACTATAAGATGATTCATCATCTAAAATGCAACTGCCAAGTGTTGTATCATCTGCGTATTTCACCATAAAATTGTTATCAGAAAGAGTAGAGCAATCATGGGTGAAT